TAAAGCTACCACTCTAAATCTATACTCGCGTTCTGCGCAACTTTCCATACGGTTCACCAGGTCAGCCAATCAAGGGCTAAGCATTCCGGTATATAATGAAAAGACAACCCAATGAAACGCGCGTATACTTACTTTTCATACTCGCGCGGAGCATATTAACCTACGTGCTTTGGCTGCTGAAATAAAGTTGAAACGCGTCAAAAGGGTTACAGAGTCATTCGAAAGGGCGGTCAGTTTCGTATTTGCAAATACAAAAACCAGAGAAAGCTTGCTCGTTTTTGTAGAGTCAGGAAATGGAATTGCGTTTTTATTTCTACATCAAACCCTAGGATAGTCATCACTCTCTCCTACCCCTGCTGGAGTGTCTTTTTTCTCTTTACTCGGCGTCCTCTCTGCTTCCCCTGTGTTCGTCCATTCCGTTGCTGTTTTTAGTTGAATCATCGCCAGTATTCAGTCCAGAGGTTGTTTGTTTTATTCATTATGATTTATGAAAATGAAGCTTGGTTTGCTAGGGTTTTGTATCTTTTATTTATTTCCCCCTGCTGGACTGTCTTTTTTCTCTTTACTCGGTGTCATCTCTGCTTCCCCTGTGTTCGTCCATTCCGCTGCTGTTTTTTTGTTGAATCATCACCAGTACTCAGTCCAGAGGTGGTTTGTTTGATTGATTGTGATATATGAAAATGAAGCTAGGTTTGCTCGGGTTTTGTATATTTTATTTCTTTAATTGTTTTATTTGTAGAAATGCTAAGGTTAGGGAACAGTTAAGTGTTAGGTATCATGAGCATGGGTTTTCATCGTCCGGTACTTGTTTTACTTCTTCAATTTTCTCAATAGCCAAACAGGACTTTGACTCTGAAGATTTTTCAATTGTTAGAAATTGTAGATGAAGGAAATCCATGTTAGGTTCGTAGGCTTTCTATTATGTTCTGGGAATGCTTTGAAATTTGCAGCTCAATAAGCTACATTATCATGTTTGGTGGCTCTGTTTAACGTTCTTGAGATTATCCATGGATCTTTTATGAATACAGAGCAGTATGGTATGATGGTTTAAGGTTCAAAGTTAAACAGGTATATGTACATGCTGCATTTTGTTAAACTCTATTTAATTTTTCATATAAAAGATCTATTTTTTATTTTCATTCACTTTTTAAATCTTTTAATTGATACATAAAATTTAGTTATACATTTACATATTTTATACATAATTCAACCAACTTTACTCCTTTCTCCAATTTTACAGTAATACATTTTATTTTCACTTATGGAATCACAAAATACCTAATCTTCAGAACGAGAGTCACTCACTTTCAAATGTTCATTACGGTTTTATTTTGACTCTCATTCAAATTCCACAAAACCAAAATTTATATTTTCATTTTTCAATAAAAAGACAAAAATATCAAACTTGAATTGGATAAGACTTAGAATGCCACTTTAGTTCAAATTTTAATAACATTTTTGTCGTCTTCGTATTCCTAACTAAAATTTTAAATCAAACTCAATCGTAATGTATACTATTGTACTTTATTTTATTTATGTTTATTTTATGGTAGTTTTCATGTTAATGATCTGCTTGGGTGGAAAGAGTGTGATTTGAAGGAAAGAAAAATAACCTATATACGACTGGGATATTTATCACGTTTGAGTAGTGTATTAAACTGCTGAAGTGATTGTATGGACTTAGCGACCATATATTAAGCTGTAGCAGGGTTTCTCATTGTTTTTTGTCTTGGACTTGCAAGAATTTCTCAACATACAGGTTCACAATGTCTTACCGCTACAGAAAAGAGAAGGACATCTGTGAGTCTGACCTTGAATACTATGACGATAGATACTACAAGAACTTGAAAAAAGGAACTTTTGAGGTCAGAATTTTTGATTCAGCATGTAGATGCTCCTTCTGCCTTGGGAAGGAAAAGCAAGATTAACTGTATAATGATCTTCTATGACATGCTTCTGACATTGGGAAAGGCTTGCAGACTAGTAGCATGAGAGAGAATGCTAAGCACTCAGCTTCGAAGGGGTACATGAAGAGGCATCTTAATAACAAGGATAGAAAAAAATCGATCTCTAAAACTGAATTTTCATATGAAGCTGAAATTGATCAGTTATTTGTATATCCTTGGGTTGGTATTCTGGCAAATATTAAAACTATGTTGAAAGATGGCCGAAAAACTGGGGAAAGTGGAAGAAAACTCAAGGAGGAGCTAGCAAGTAAAGGATTCAATCCTTTGAAGGTTCATCCTTTATGGAATTGGAAAGGTCACTCTGGGTTCGCTATTGTAGAATTCAATAAAGATTGGGATAGTTTCAGAAACGCAATCACCTTCGAGAAGAGTTTTGAGGTTGATCATTGTGGGAGGAAAGATTTCTATGCAACTAGAGACCTAGGAGATAAACTGTACGGGTGGGTAGCAAGAGAGGATGACTACTACTCAAACAGTATCATTGGTGATCATCTACGTAAAAATGGAGATTTGAAGACTGTTTCTGGTAAGGAAGCAGAAGATCAAAGGAAAGCATCAAAGCTGGTCAATAATTTGACCAATACCTTGGAGATGAAGAATAGGCATATGAAGGAAATGCAAACCAAATATCTCGAGACAAATGCCTCACTCAATAAAGTTATGGCCCAGAAGGATGAGATGCTCAAATGTTACAATGAAGTGTTCCTATCCCTTCTTCTAGTTTTATTTCATGTGCTACCTGAACTCTTTGATTTTCATGTCGGATTCTTTAGCTTATTATGTTCATTTTATGTTGATTAGAAATAAGAAAGATGGAGCAGAATGAACGTGATTATTTTAAGAAGATTTTATTTGATCATGATCAAGTTATGGTGCAATTGGATGGTAAGAAAAAAGAACTAAAGAATCGCGAGAAGTATCTACTAGAACGTGATGCTCGAAATGAAACTGAGAGAAGGAGAGTCCAACATGAGAAGAAAATGGTAACACCTGACTTTTTATTTTTAATTTGATTTAATAAGTTATGATAAGACCATTCCCACTCTTTCCTTCCTATGTAGTCAGTGATGCAAGTACAATGGCCAAGATTTCTGAATTATTAGCTTAGCTCCAAGTAACGTGTTTTTGCAGCCAGCAAATTGGTACGAATACAAATAATGCAAGGTTGATGGTATTGGACCAATTAGGAATCATTAGCTACTTACAAATTAAGGGTTAAAACTAGATATCTTACGTAAAAGTTTGAGTTGGGGTTTGATGGGTTCTAGGGTTGGGGCCATCGAGGATTTGACTGCATCACGCAATCATAAAGAGTGAGTGCTGTAAATTCTCTTAATCATTGTTATTATATTGAAAAGAATTGCAAGAGTATTTGAGGATAATTTAGTGCTAATCTAATTTCAATTGGAATCCTTATCCAACCCATACTATTGCGACAAATACCAAACTTTAAAAGACATTACAGTTTATCATCTGTTTGGAACCTGAGTAATGAAAACAATTGATTTAAATAAATTTAGGGTTGAGTGAATTTGTTTGGAATAACGTGGATATAACTCAAAACAGCTACTCACTATTAACTTTGTTTAATTATTAGTATTAGCAGTTAAATTTAATTAGTTTCATGCACTGTTTCTGGTTCTGATCACCTTGTTATTGTCTTTTTTATAAAATATTTTTTCTTTTTTTTTTTAAACTTTTTTTGGAAAATGGTCCTCTACTAGTTCATTTCTAGTCTGGAAAATCTCTGCTGGTTATTTGTATAGAAAAGAAATCACTAGTTATTGTCACAGGCATCTTAATTTATCCTTCCCAAGGTCCTTGTGTTTGTGGAAGTATATAAACAAGGGGCGACTTGAGTTCTTCAAGTGTATTAGATTGAAGTATTTCTGGCACGTGGATGAGGTTCTAGAAAGGTGATTGGTATGAAGGAGGCACCTTCTACTCTAGAATTCTTGTGTTTTCTCATGCAAGGAGAAAGGAGGCTGTAATTTGTGGGTATTATTTTTTCTTGGATACTGGTCCGATGTTGTGAAATATTGACCTTGTGAGAAACTTGAATGACTGGAAAAAAAAGAAGAATAGGTGATCCTCCATCTCTCCTTGTGCCTAGTGGATCCTTGGGCAATGAGTCTGCGTGGAAGTAGGGAAACATTTCAGTGTGAAGTCCTCCTGCATGGATCTCTTACACGGTGTGATTTTCTATGGAAATAAACATGGAAGATGAATAAATCATCAAGATTTGCCTTTTTTTTTTTTCTCTACAAATCAACTCTTAAAAGAGTTGGTTTGCATATTCTCACCTCACTTAGAGGTGGAGAGAGTTCAAGTGCTGCCATGAATAACTTCTTGGGTAGCAGAAAGAAATTGCTTTTTTTTTCTTGGGGAGCTCTGCGAAGAATTTTGACCATTGACAGCCTATAGAAGAGAGGAAAAATTTGAGTGAATAGGTGTTTGCTGTTTAAAGTGAGAACCAAGACTCCATATTGTTTAGACTTTGAGGCCCCTTCTCATATTACCTTTTGGTGCATGACTCTCTACTTTCTCAATTTGAATTATGTTGTTGCTCTCTTTAGGACATGTTATGGGCTTGGCAAGGTATCCTGAATGATAAGAAGATGATGAAGTTGATCTCTCTTATCCCCTTGACTATCTTGTGGGTTATTTTGAAGCAAGATAGCCATAGGGATTTTGGGAATTTTGTTTTGAGTTTTGATGAAGTTGACACTCCTGGATCCAGGTCCTGTATTTTTTTTTGGTTCTATCCTCTTTGATAAGAATTTAGTAGATATTATAGATATTTTAATTGAGGTGTACATCTTTTCTTTTTTCTTGTACATGGATGGCATCTCTTGTCTCCTGCTTATAATAATTTATCTCCTGTTTATACACTTGCAACTGTTCCATTAAAAAAAAATTATCTTTTCCTTTTGGAAAAGAAATTATTATAGTATGTGTAGATGGCTGTCTGATCTATGTTGGATATTGGGGAAGCTGGAGTGACATTGTAGCTTCTCTTAGCTATTTGGAATACTTATGTAATTTGTGGTAATATTTCTTTGTCTTCAGAATGAGATGGCTGCCTTCGAGCAGAAAAAGGCTAATGAGAATATGATGAGGCTGGCGGAAGATCAGAAGGTGTGCTGTCATTATTAATGCTGAACAAGATATTTGATCTGAGTTTTTTTTGTGATTTTCCTTATATTATTTGTGATTGAATTTATCAATTGCTAGACAGAGAAGGAGAAGCTGCATGGTAAAATTCTTGAGCTGCAGAAGAAACTAGATGACAAACAGGCACTGGAGCTAGAGATAGAGCAATTAAGAGGGGCATTGCAAGTAATGAAGCACATGGCAGAGGAAGAAGATGGGGATGTCAAGAAAAAGATAAACTCAATTCGAGAAGAACTAAAGGAGAAGGAAGAAGAACTTGATGGTTTGGAAGATTTGAATCAAGCTCTTATTATCAATGAGCGCAAGACAAATGATGAATTGCAGGATGCCCGTAAGGAGTTAATCAATGTAATATCTTTTTTCTCTGCATTTCTTCAAGTGTCTTTTTTCTTGATAGTTATACTGCAGGAAATTGATATGCTGTTTCAATACATCACGTTATCATTTTCACTTAGAAATTGGATCTTAGGGCAAGGTTGAAGTCTTTTGTCATTGTTGCCAGAGAAGAAATTGCAATGCAAACCAGGAAAAGCCAGGGAACAAGTTCAAAAAGCTTGTTTACTGGCTGAAACTCTTGCAGTGTGGCACTTTTTATTCAAAAAAAAAAAAAAACTCTTGCAGTGTGGTGTGTCTACTAAAATTGAAGTACGTCAAACAGTGCCACTCATATTTGGCTGTCAAACAAAATGCATCAGTTCAACCATTCTTAACTGTCAAACAAAATGCATCAGTTCATATTCCACATATAGGTTGTTGAACATGGTTGGCTCGACCATCCATGTTCAATACCATGAGTGTTGATCATGCTTGAGTAGATTTAAATGATTGAGAGTTTCTTTGTTGTGGTGACTTGTAAAATATTTTTTCCGCAAGCTGCATCAAGACTAAAATCCTTTCCCTGCTGTAACAGAACGAGGATATTTTTTCCATATAAAACATGGTTTTCCATATTTTCTTTGCCTTCCATATATATCTATACCGGGATACTCAAGTGTTGTTGCCTTCTTAGTGTAGATTACTTATAATTTGTTATCTGTAATGCATGTTTTATTGGCATCAGCATATGTAATTTTTTTTTGTATTTCTTTGGCTTGTTATCTTTTATTTCATCTAGTAAATGGCTATTGGAGGGAGCTTTTAATTCCTTGATTTGTAGTATTTGAGGGACGGAACAAATCGTACCTTTATTGGTGTTAAGAGAATGGGGGAGCTTGATGAGAAACCATTCATCAGCACAATGAAGAAAAAACACACTGACAATGCAGAGGAGGAAACGATTCAGCTTTGTTCCCAGTGGGAGGATTACCTAAGGGATCCAAGCTGGCATCCTTTTAAAATCATCATGGATAAGGAAGGAAAGAGCACGGTATGCATTATATAAGTAGAATCGGTTAGTGCACATTCGCATACATTGGAATAGACATTACCTATATATGTATACATATCTTTTCAGTTATAGCAATTACATTATCATGTAACTACCGTTTGATTGCTTACATGAAGTTCTGGAGACTTAGTAGACTTTTATATGGTCAAGACATGTATATTATCACGTAATTACTGTTTGACTACTTACATGAAGTTCTGGAGACTTAATAGACTTTTACATGGTTAAGACATGTGAAATTTTGTGCTGTTGCCTTTCTCCAATTTTTTTGTAGGAGAAAACATTCTTAATAATGAATAACGGAGTGGGGAAATGTAATTGCATAAATATCACATTTTTTCCGTAGATTTCTCTAGAGTAGCTATTTCCTTTTTAGTTATTCTAGTTTTGTTTTGTGTCGGGCAGTTGTGTATTTTGCTAGCAGTTACTATGTACTTTTTGACTTTGGTGGTTTTCCACTTTCTGTGATTCTGTGAAATGAAGCAATAGCTAAGCATATTTTTGTCCAGAAAAATTGGAGTTTCTTCATAGATATTTGAAGTCCTTCCCAATTTCAAAAATAGGTGCCGTGGCCCTAAATTGAATCACGTTGTGGGTTCGTTGTGGAAGAGGGGTAATGGCTCATTAAGAGAGGGTCCTTTGATTTCTTTGTTGCACGTGACAAGAGGGAACACTTCTGAGTTTAGAAAATAAACTCATACTTTCTTTAGACAATTTTTATGTATTTCTTATTGAGGTCCTGTTTGCTTTTATGCAGGTATTATTTAGACAGTTTCTAGGGAATAGGCAATTTCTTTTGGGAAGTAAACTATCCATACCTACATGATACGCCTATTACATATAAAACTGTCCCAATCCCCATAGCCATAGTAAATACAGAATGAAAATAACTGGCAAAAACTGAAGAAAAAAACTGAATAATCTAATCTTCAGGTTGCAGTTTCCTTCAGCCATACACCCCTTCTTGTTCTGCCATTTTTCAGCTACACCAGGCCAGCAAATTGGCCATAACAATTTGTCATAAAAGTAGAATAAGCCAAAAGTATTATAAACCTCAACATGATTGCTCTGTCACTAAACTAATAACTAATTCCCAAATTAGTAGGGACCTTAGCAAAATTGATAACAGAGCCAGCTACCAGGTCCTCTAGTTGAAATCTTGTGGTGCAGGAGCCAGGAGGTGACACTGGATGGTTAGGGCTAATTAAGAAAGTATATTTTTTATACAAGGTAATTAAGAAAGTGGAAGGGAATATTTGGAATTCGGCTTCTGCTGCTTTCCCCAACATAATAATATGTATAACCAAAATCAGATTAGAACTTTGCAACAAGGACTTTTTCCACTTTTCTCTGGTAGTTAAGAAAGTATATATTCCGCCTGCCTTTGTATTTCCACCATAGTTGTCAAGAATGTGGTATATTATGGGTCTTGGAGTGGACACTAGAACAAAGTATGGTAATTAGTTAATTTAGTGTACGGGGTAGACATAATTAGTTCTCCTGGTTAGGATAACAGTATGTGGGAAACAAACAGTTAGTTTATTATTGTTTTGTAATTTTTGTATTCTAATAACAGTATTTCTCATTTGTTTTGAATTTTTCTGCTTTCTTATGCTGTAATTACAGTTAGTTAGTTAACTTTTAGTTGGTATTCTACAATAGCAATAGACTTCATCAGCTTGTATAACAAAATATCCTTGGCTTACCTGGCTTGTTTTGGTAGGTTGGTTACCTCTCTTCAAATTCCAATAAAATTCTTTGTTGCTAATTTGGAGAGTGGTTTGTATATCTTATTTTACCTGGGGTAGCATCCTCTTGGTGCCTTTTTAAACAATCTAGATTGTGGTCTATGGGTGGGGAGGAAGAAACCTGGTAACAATGGCCTAGGGGACATAATTCATTGTGGTGTGTTAATTGTGAGGTTGATAGGACTTATATCTCAAATCAATAATGGATTACTTAGATGAGGCGTTTATATAGCATCCCAACCTCAATAATTAATTTCATGAGATGTAATTCTCTTAAATCCTATCAATTTGGATTATGGATAGCAACTAGGTCTTCTGTTTGTAATTGCTTGGTTTGCGTGACAATGCTGTCATGCAGTGATCATTGGAGACTAACCACGATATTAAGTGCAAAATTAGCCTACATTGGTGCTGGGATTGTGGAACAGGGTGTATTGTTATGTCATTAATCATAATGAATATTACTTGAATTCTATGCCAAAGTGAATGAATTTGGTTAGGAGATTATATGGGCTTTAGACTCCAACTTCAATTGCTTGCTTTTGAAGAATGGCTCACTTAAGACTCATATCATATGGGCTAGGAAGGGTCTTTTTGCTTACAATTCTTTCATAACTTGTTCGACTCTTATTAAATCCACTTTCAGATCCATTTCAAGTAACCGATATTCCTGAATGGTTTGGTTTTAGCTATTATAATCTTACTGCATTTACCATTAAGTGGTTCGTACTCTGGTTGTTGGTTTGCAGGAAATAATAAATGATGAGGATGAAAAGTTAAAAGGTCTGAAGAATGAGTTTGGTGATGAGGTATATAACGCCGTGATAAAAGCCGTAAAAGAGATGAATGAGTACAATCCAAGTGGTAGGTACCCTGTACCAGAATTATGGAATTTCAAGGAAGGAAGGAAGGCAACTTTGAAAGAGGGGGTGTCGCATTTACTGAAGCAATGGAAACTGCATAAACGAAGGCGAACCTGAAGGTAGGTTTCTTAACACGGCATTCACATCTCAGATCATTTACTTGAAACAGATGGAGCATGAGTAAAATGTGAATATGTTTATTATTCTCGGAGTTGTATAGAAATTAGTAAAAAGTTAAGAGATGGTTTTTGAAACAAATTTAAAAATGTTTTGGAATTTATTTGTAAATCCACAATCAGATTACTTAAAAAATGTGTAACATAGTATTAGGAATTTGGATGAGAAAAAGATTTACCGTATAATTTTATATGGAATTACAATAATATTATTTTGAACTCCACTTGAAATTGATAAAATTTAGAAAAGATTGCTTCTATTCTAAATAGAATTTTGTAATGTATTTTTTGTCGTTATAAGTAAGATAGAATTTATAATATAATATTATTTCTAATTCACGTCAAATTTTCATATGAGATCCACTTTTAATCATTTTAATGTGTACATTCACTATCTTCTTAAATTTACAGATAAATTTCATAAAATTTTTAAATTTGTTCAAAACATAGGCCAAACAAAGTGTCACTTGAAATGAGGAATGCGTCACCCTAAGCAACTACTGTGTACTCTATCTTAGCTTTACTTAGTTGGAACCTGCTTCTTTTACTCGCAAATTTTGCATTTCTCAGTTATTGGTAGAAACTGTTGTGAGATTTGATTATTTCAAATTTTATCTACTCAATGCTTTTGCCGATGCTCCACTGGAATGTGCCCGATCACTGTAGATTAAGGACACCCGCTATGTTACTACGTGATTATGTTTTGCCTTCTTTAGGGTCTCTAATGGTTGGTGTATTAGGATGTTTAGAAGCCTTTCGGTTCTCGTTGAAGTTTGTTGGGCTACACACCGGTATGCTTCCATAGGCAGGTGCTAGGCATTTGTAATGGGTCTGGCTAAAATCGATCGTGATGACATTGACTCGGTTACTACTTGCTTGGGCTGAATATGTTTTTCATTCCCTATTATAATTGGTTGCTTTTCACTATTGGGCTCGACTTTTGGTAAAAAGAGAGACGTTTTTGGTCAAGTTGATTTTAACAAAAAAAAAAAAAAGAAAAAGAAATGAGCATTGTTTGAATTGATAATTAGATAGATAGTACTTCTACTATTTTGGTGAGTCTGAGTTTTGGACTGTGAACTTCTTCATCATAAGAGGTAAAAGAATCGTATTCAATTAATTATTCTCGTTTTAGTGCCGAATGGTTATTAGTATTGTGATTTAAAATTGAAACTAACCAACCCTCTCAATCAATTCTATGCAGCAACATATTTACTGTGACCTTATCAGTTGGTGTAGAATCTTATGCAGATATGCTGAAGAGATTTAGGCTTGGGATTTTGACAGTGAGCTTCACGAGGAATGAATGATTAAGATCTCTTTTTTTTTTTAACTCTTGAAGTGTGAAAGGAATTTTGATGAGGGGGAGCCCCACAATGAAAGCTATAAAGTGAACAAAATTAGATTTTGCATAAAAGGAATCCAAAGCCCTAGCCCTAGTTAGTTGTGTTTTTCCCTTGCGAGACGGTGGATTGCAGAGGAGAGGAGGGAGGAGGATCCAAGATTTGTTTGTTTTTTTCAAAGTTGAAAACCCTCATGTCGTAGCTACACAGCATTAACAAACCCACAACCCCACCCATGTGCAAATGCTTGTTTCCTGTGATGTGACTCCATGATTGTTAGGTTTTGCATTTGCAATACATAAAGAATTTACAGCCTTTTTCTCTTCTTCTCCTAATTAATGGAAAAAAATAAAATGTCTTGGCTTCCATTTTCCGGCTAAGAAAACCGTCATAGGATTCCCATTTCTCCTCATTATATCTCAAGATTGCGCCTCCAATCACTTTGCCTTTCGTTTTCTAGTGATTTCTGAGGATTTGGGTTCAATTTATTTTGAGGAGTTTGTAGATATTTTCCAAAGAAGAAAATTTAGCAATACCTAAAATACAGTATGTTTAGACCGGGCATGACGCCAAATTATGAGCTACGTACACGAAGCAGTCTCTTTTTCTTCAGTTGGTTCTCTGTGTTTGAATTGTTAAAAGTATAATTTTAATCGCTATATTTTTAAATTGCTACAAAAAAAAAAAAAAAAACAAGGGAGCTTAATATAAAATATCACATCGTATTTATTGATCTTGTTAAATATTATTTTGTTCAATATAAAAAAGTAATTTAGTTCATTGTTAACTGATTTTTAAAACAAAAACAAACAAATAAATAAATGCTGTATACCCATTAAATATATTTTGATAAAGAAAAAAAAAAAAATTATATGGTTTCTATTTGTAGGTAAAAAGTTTATATGTATATGTATTTGATAGAAACAAAATAAAAAATTAAAAAGCTGAAGAGGGAAAGTTCCAGATGAGTGAAGAAAAAGTAAGGATTATGTACCCAATCAAAACTGTAAATGCTGTTGCCTCCGGTAAGGCAACAAAATAATGGAGCACATCAGGAACCCAAAATGTCCACAGTCTTATCGCAGACCCGAGAATCTGCGGTGTTTTCTTGGGTATTGTCAAGCTCAAGCAAAGACCTAACAACACGATGGAAAGTCATTAGACGATGATATAGGCATGGGAAACATCCTACAATGTTCTCCGAAGTTTCCCTTTTGCACACCAATTTTAGTATGGAGCTTTTCTTTTCTTGGTTCTTTTTTCTTTTTAGTAAAAAGCAGAGAAAAAAAATAAATAAATAAGAAGTTTAAGATGAAAAATGGCTAGAGTCAGATGTATTGAACATTTTTGTTCTTCCTGAAATTTAAGAATAAAATTTATGTAAATCAAGTTTTACGCTATAAGCTACGTCCAATTTGCATCTCTTTAAGTTTGGTTATGGAAGCTACTCCTTGTGAGGCTTCTCTGTTATGTTTTCCAAAAGAAAAGAATTGCAGTTTTCCTTACGCAGGTATTGTGTATGCTTTAGACTTGGCTGTGTTACTGAAACTGATTTCTCTAATTGATAATCTAGCAGAACAAATTGGGATTTAGATAAAGCAAAACCAAGATTACATTCCAATTAAAAAGTATACAAGTTAAAAATACTTAGTTTACTACAACAGTACATTTCTGCAACACATCCATAATCACATACTACATTACACTTAAAAAAAGACAAAAAAGAAGAAGAGTTTTTAGTACTAACTGCTACACATAATAGGCTGCGGGCTACATTTTTTGTGCAGCCGCCTCAGCCCCTTTTCTTCCCCTACGACTGTATTTCCCTTACACTTTCTCTCCTTCCCCTTCCCCTAATTTTCTCATCACCCAAACAAACACCAGCAAAAAGTCAAAAAAAAAAGAAAAAAAGAAACCAAACTGGACCTTTACTTTCCTCCTACCCCACCATCCCCTTTCCCCATTTTACTTTTAGCAACTTAAAAACACTTCGACATCTCCCAGCACAGAAGAATTGGCGCAAAGAAGGACAATATTGGAAATATATATATATATATATATTACGGCGGGAAACTTGAATTTGGTTGGCAATTATTTTTAAATTCTTTTTTCTGGGTAAAGGGTTAAAGCTTAAAATTATGAAAATTAAAATCAATATCAAACAAATATCATCCTCCTAATTTTCTCTCCTTTTTTTTATTTTCTTTGATTACTTCATTTTCATTTCTGGTCAAACCCTGAAGTTCTTGCCAGTGAATGTTTGACCAAACTGCCAATGGGCGGGGGCAATGTTCCACGAGGTGGATGTGCGTCTGTCACTGCCTGTGACCCTGAACGAGAGCGGCTGACCGACCAGAACGGCGTTTGACTGCCAGTTTTGACCCCAGTTCCGGCTCAGCGGCATCCAACCGGTCTTTGAACCTTTCACGCTCGCCCTCACGATATCCCCTGCACCCGCCACGTTGGTGATCAGCACCAGGTTAAAGTATCTGAAGCCGTTGATCGTGAACCTGATCCCACCCATCTTCCTGCATGGCACCCTGCGTAAATACACCATAAATCGTCAGGCGTTATTGTCATTTAGGTCAAGGAGAAATGTTAGCATGGAACGCGGATCGTGATTTTAGGCATGGGACCCACAAAAGAATGAGCGACGATTGTTTCATAAAATCGTAATGTAAAACTCGTCGAAGACCGTGTCCGGCAGTTTTTATTCAACTCGGTGTTTGAATGAGCGCTTACCCAAAAGTTAAAAGCCAAAAAATAATTGAAAAAAGCACGATGCGCAAACAAACAAACAAAACAAATGGTGGAGAGCGGTCAACAATAACGGTTTAATGAGTAGGCGTTAACTACCTTCCCCCCCCACCTAACCGTTGGCGAGGAAGGAAGGACGGAATATCCGTTACTTTTGACGGTTAGTAAGATAGTTTAATATTGGTACTAGGAGGTGGGCATTTTGGTCCAATTAGGAAATGTACATTGGAAAATCTGACAAAAATCTATTAAACACCCGTACCAGGATCCGATCCGAGACCCGCTGATAGATTCTCATTCATGACCCGATAGGCTCGTATCAGATACAACATGGTTCAATCTTTTTTGTTATTTTATAAAAATTATAAAAATATCTGCCAATGTCTTCATTCTATAAACAAATTAAAATTAATAAAAAATTAGAAAAATTGGAAATAATAACTTAAAAATTAATAATTTTGTATAAATAAATAATTTCTTTTCAAATTATCGTTGAAATCATATTTATAAACTATTTAATAAATTTTCAATCATCATAATTAATACATTTATAAAATGGGCACACTTAGATATAAAGTAGATAGTTTATTTTAATGGTTCTAATTTTAAACTTTATTAGATAAATTACTATACTTGGATATAAATGAATGAACCTATATATATATATATATATATATATATAAATTTTTAAAAAAATGTAATTTCAATTCATAATCTAGACTTTTATGGACTACTATCAATAAATTCCTTACTTCTTCATGCGAAAGTGTTAATTAATTGCCTACAGACCAACCCCGTATGCAAACCCAGAAACAGAGCAAAACCAGAGATTAGAAAACGTAGACGGGTTCGACGCTTACCGGCGGTAGGCGACGGGGACAATTCCGGCACGGTACTCGGCAATCTTGAGGAACATGGGCATGGCCAAGTCGAAGTGAGAACGCGGAGGATTGCACCATCCACCATTGTCGTTAGGAAGAGCGTAATTTGGCGGGCAGAAATTTGTTGCAGTCACGAAGATTGACGGGCTACCGGAATGGCACCATTTCGGGTCATTCGCACACTTGATCTCAAAGCAAGCCCCACAGCTAAGGCCATTGTTGAACAGCGCCGTGCTCAGCGCCGCCGTGTTCACGCCATACCCTTGGCTGTAAAGATTCCCATACCCGCAAGCCCCGCCTGTAAATGGAATCGGGTAAAACTTAAACGCAATGTGGGTGACTTCAGTCGATTTTCGGACATGGAAAAAATTTCCTCAACTGGGTTTTCATAATCATGACCGATTTAGAGCATTAAGCAGAATAAACAAGTGGGTAATCAACTATCAGTAGAATTTTCAAGATGGGTTCTCCTCATTTTGCATGCTACATGAAAAATCGAAGCATAATATAAGTGACATACCCATGGTGCCCGAAGCATCTGCACCACCATAGAAAGTAGCATGAGCAGTTTGCCACGAACCCCCTTGGTAGACCCCGGGAATTCTCGCTTCAGCAACCCACATTAACGCTCCAAGTAAAGCTACCATCCAGAATGTACCCGCCATTGCCATTTCTCTTCGCATAACAAAGTAAGACCAGAAGAAAATCTCAACAGGGAAAATGAAGGATTAGAGCTTAGGGGAAAAGGGAGGAGAAGGGTCTGGTACTTATGGAGTTGCGGGGAGAAGGTGTGGCCAAACAAAGTAGCTGTTGGAAACCTTTTTTTTTTTTTTTTTTTTTTTAAAGAAATCCATAATTAATGTTCCTTTTTTGTGAACCAAACTCGATAATTTATTTTGCGTACTCTCTGTTAACCACGCGTGGTATCACGGTCCAATTACGTAGCGGTATTATACGGATTACGCGTGGGGCCCCACAATCGTAGGGAATCTGACTTCTAAAGTACATTATTGTGCGCTCCTTGGGCGAGTGTTCAATTTAGTCTTGTTATAGAATGGATTAAACACACCCGATATTATTTTTCCTAAAATTTTAAAGATTAGAATTTGGTAAATGTCTAAAAGAGTTTTTGAAAAAAGAAAAACGTAAATTATTTAGAATATATTTATTTAGAATTTAATAAAATATTAATGTATTTATATAAAATAGCACTTTATTCTTTTAACTAATGAACAGGTCCCAAGTTCGAATCTGGAATTCTGTCATGTTGGGAACAAATCACGATATTCATGCCATGTTCCTACTTTAATTTGATAAGACGGAAATAACCCTGAAAGGATGTGACTCGTGCTGAGACGTGATGACGTCAAGACAAAGGGGTAATTTGGGAATATCGGGCTTTGCGTCCGTGGGAAGGCGGGAAGCGCGATGAACGGCTGTGATTGGAGGATAGACATGAGGGTCCACAGAGAGATGAGATGGGGCTTAGCAAATTCCCACTCAAAGTGAAGTGGTGATGACCAGAGGGGCAACAAAGCCAAGAAGCCCACCGCGCGAAGGCATCCAACGTGGTCGTGTGGGACCCACTTAATCCCCGTGATAAGCGGACCATATTAACAGCCGTGTGGGGCTTTTTAACTGCACACGTGGGGCCCATAACAATCTCGAGCCACACGCGCGAACATAAAATTACGACTCCCTCATCTTGCAAATTAACTCGAAAGATTATTTGAAGAGAATTTAGTACAGACAAGTTTAAGCAGGTTAGGCATAATCCAACTCGTTCTATAATTAATTAATTAATGATTATTTCAAAAGAAAAGAAAGAGAGAGTAAAAGTTGGGACAGTGCGTGAGCTGCACCGTTTGACTGGTGAGGTTGTCACATCGTCTCCGTAACCCATGTGCGTGCCACAACACAAAAAGTAAAAAAAAAAAAAAAAGAAATATCAGCACAATACTCATTAAACTCTGCAGTCAACGTGGCCCAATAATATCTTTCCACGTATTGGACGGTCTGAAATTGTGCGGGGTCAAGATCTGGTACACACATGCTCACGGGTCCATCCTTACCTTCTGATTGCTAATTATTTGGCTTTTCTTCGTTTAAAGAAAAAGGTAAATCATTTTGTTTTCCAAATGCTTTTAGTAAATTTCTGGACCGATTAGTTGCTTAATTTTAAGTTTATTATGTAAACAAATTTTTACGTAATAAATCGAACATAAAAATACTTTATTTGACATCACTAAACTCTATAATTGAAAGTGATATGGTTTAATACAATATTAATATTCGCTAATTGACGTTAATTAATCTGTCACATGCGACCTACGTATTATTGAGTGGATTAGCGTATGTACTTGGGGTAACACTGCAAGAAATTCAAACGTTTCTATTTGGCAATTATGCGCTTAAATTAACCATACATATACACACACACATATATATATATATATATTTATATTCTATACGTATACGTCAGTTTCTTCTTGTTCTTCATTTAATGTCGGGTTCACAAAAATAAGATGCCAAGCAGAAACTTGTTAAATATATATTAAAAAATAGATTAGTAAATTCTAAAATTTTGTATTCCCAAATATTTCTCAACTTCGTCCCCGTGTGGGACTGTATAATAAAATTTTCTAGTCAAAAAATTTGACTTTATGAGTAATTAATTAAATTATTTTTGAATATTAGCACATAGTTTTTCAAAATTTAGAAGAAGGATTTTTCATACTGGTTGAGTGTGGAGGTGGGGGAAAATGGAAAAACCCAAAACCCAGAAAGCCCGATTCAGACTGGTTTTTGTGGGGAGACAAAAGTCTTGATTCACTTTGGATTTGGGAATAAATTAAATAGACAGGAACACAGCTTGTGTAGAATTTTAAAGCTGGTTTTGACTAAAGAAGCAGACAGGATCATTATTTTGTCAGCAAAGTGGATATATATATATATATACATAATTCATTACGGTGGATCTTATTTATTGACTTTATAAATGTATAAAATTAGTGTAATTGCATATTTGATATGTAATTAGATTAATTAAGAATTCAAATGATGGGTATTTTTTTTTTTTAATTTTTTGAAAAATGTTTACGATAGATTTTAATTAAGTAATTAAGAGGGGGAATTATCTTAAATATAAATTTTGCTAGTTTTATAATTAGTTTATTTTAAGAGGGTCTAAAATGATTGAAGGGACAAGAGCTGAGCCACTGTGTCCAGTTAGCTTTCGCATTCATGACTGCACAGACACTGGAAAGAAAGCTGGTTTCATACAATTATAAATTATTTTGTAGGGATCACTATATAATAAATAATAATAATAATTGACAGTAATAATTAAATTGTATTAAATTTTAATAATGTTTTATAATGATTAATTTTGTTTTTTTTTTTTTAAATTGTAATAATTATAATGGGTTAAAAGTTTGGTTTAATATATATGTATATATTTAATATAAAAACATAATAATAACTAATAATACACAAAGTCTTTTAAATGAACTGAGTCTGCACGCCTAGTACACTAAATAGACATTATTAAGCATTACGCAATCCCTCCACAAGAAACTTACAAATCTTATATTTATTGTTTTGTAAGATGAAAAGTGTAGGAGACCCTTTAAAGTTTCTTATTCCAACGAGCAAAAACGACATCATTTCAGGTCTTATAAATTATATATACATACACACACACACACACACACATATATATATATGTATATGTATATGTACATGTTGAAGGAAAGTGATGGGCATATGTATAGCATGTGAGTGTATGACTCATTTTTTTTTTTTTTTTGGTTTGAGAAGGCAAATTCTTGAGGTAGTTGAAAGGGATTGGGAAGTTATCTCAAGCTAAGTATTTATATTCTTTTGAGGAAGTGTTGCCTGTTTGCTTTTGTTTATAGAGTGAAAAGACCAACTACCCTAACGACCAACTTAACTACCTCTTACCAAAACCAAATAAAAAAGCAACTTAACTACCTACCCATAATTTCAAATCATATTACAAGATCATTTATGAATGCCCATACACACACACACACACACACACACACACACATATATATATATATATATATTGAAGAAATAGGTTAAAACTTAAAAGGGCCCATTGGAGGAGGGTAATTGAAATCATCTATGCGTATAGCTAGCGGTAACAATAATAATGGAGAGTGGATATAATACATTACATCTACATATATATATATATATATATATATATATACGCATATGTAAATATGTGTGTGCAACATGCAATTTTCTAGACAAAAAGAGACAAAACAAAATGATGGTCCAACAGAAAATCATCATTTGATAGACCCTATTCAGTAATTTTCAACTTCTTATAAACGTTATTATGACAAAAAATTTGATTTGATCTTCTCCAACCATATACTATATAAGATGTATCTATAACTTCACCAACCATTATGTAAACCTGTATATTAGGCATACAAAATAGTTTCTATAAATTACAAAATGGGTCATTTAAAAAAAAAAATGATTATAGTTTTATGTCGAGTATTGTTTAGTACGTAAAAAAATTCTACATCTATATCGTACTAAGTTTTATTTGTTTTTCCGATACGATGTATGCTTAAATAAAATTTTGACGTTACTCCGAACAATTTTAAAAACACCATTCCATATCAAATTTCTCTTTAGATTAACAAGAAAAGAATTGGCATTAAATTTTTTGCTTTTATTATTTACAAAATGTTTAGATATGAAAATTGGAAGGCCCCAAAAAGAAATGGGCCCAAATTAATGACTATTTATAATGTTAGTTTATATGATTAATGAAAGGGCTTATTATCAATTAATAAAGAAGATGGGCCTATTATTTATGGGTATAATAATTTCTCTTTAAACCCCTTTTAATTACAAACGGATACACTCTTTAATTGTCTAATTAATACCCATTATTATTATTATCTCTCGAACTAAATAATATTTATTATTTTCCAATATTTAATATTTCAAAATAAAAACATTTAAAAAAAAAATAGTTAAAATTTTTATATTTTAATTTTTTTGGGAAAAATATATAACGAAATTATCATTGGGCCAACAAAACAACAAATGTTGGGCCGATTCTTGCCATGTAGATGTCTTATTGGACCTCCTTAATTTCTGATCTACACCCAACAATTTTTTTTTTTTTTTTTTTAAATTATAGGGTGTTAAAATATTTTTATTTTTATTTTTAATCACTCAATTTTTTAAAAAAAAATTACTCCTGTAATAAATTCTAAAATGATTAAATTCTATTTTTATTTATCAAAATTCAAATATTAAATTTATCTAACTTTAATTCAATATAAATTTATGATACCATTTACATTTAAATCTAAAGCTTCTGTTATATCCTCCTTTCTATTTTTAAAGAATCAACATTTTCACAAATTATCAACTATATAAAGAGGCTAAAAGAGTTTGAGACGATTCAATTTTTTCTAAATGGACAACCTATTCCCACCTATAAAATACACCTCCACAGCTGTATATATAGATATATTCCTCAATTGAACTCAGGAGTATAGACAGAAACGAAAGACTCAGAAAAGATAATGACCCACGAAAACAGTGATGATAATGACGACGATGATGTCGTTGTATCAACCTTCTTCTTTGCAGTTATGTCGATAATCGTTCTTGTTGGCTTAACAGATGAATGATAAAATCAACCCGTTCTTTACATCCTGTGATATTAATATGTTCATCATTGTTTCAACTGCAAAGCTCGGAACATAGCTCCTGAACATGGAACGAACTATTGTTTGTCAATGTGTAGAGGCCGGTTTTTCCATTGCTTATGCATGTCAAGTTCAGTTGATTTCCAAATTGGGTCGACTGCAAGCAGCAGCAAGATACAGCACAAGACATCAGCTTTAAGTTACAACTAGAAACAAACTTCACGTCTTATACACAAATTATATTCCAATCTTGATTCGTCCAATTCTACACAAACACGTTCCCAGTGGGAAAAGTCTAATTTTCCATATAATAGTAACACGCAACACATTTTCCAATAATAAAAGCCATTTCAATAAGTTTCTTTGTTTGCTCGAGATTTTTCAATCAAGAATGAGTGTTTAAGCAGTTATGTATAGGAAATGCAAATGTTTAATGAGAAAGGATTGTCAAAGAGACAGCACAGGTAGTACCTCGCAGTAAACTTGCTGTGACTTGCAGCTCCAAAGAGAGGTTGGGACGCAACTCAAATAGTGACACCATGAACAATGATCATTCAAATTGACTTCCTTGCTAAGTAAAACCAGGCCAGCGACGTATCTGCCAATATTGCAATAAAAAATATGGTAACCAGATCTAATCACGAAGATGTTTTGTTGCGAGAATCAATTCCAGTCAAAGGGATTCAAGGAACTTACACTACAATCAATAGTATGAGGGAAACAATAAAAAGTATGTATTGATACGTCTTGTATTTAGGTTTAGTTGATGTTGCAATATACCCAGGAGGAGAATTTTTCTGCCTAACATAACCGAACTGAGGACGAATTAAGAACACGAATCCAAGAAGAAAACCAGAAATAAATCCTCCAATATGAGCAAAGTTGTCCACATGAGGGAGGATTCCCACGGCTAAATTTATTGCAATGATGAAAACAAGTGTCAGCAATGCTGCTAACTGCAAAAAAGGAAAAATATCCACTAGGTAACACCAGCAAAGCAATTGAATATCCAATAACATGAAAAAGTTGCTTCAAGCAATTTTTACTTCTAAATCCCGAGAAGTGACATGTACCTTGTTTACATAAATTGACCAGTTTGTGATAAGTTCTGAAAGCATGCTCCCAAGCAAACCGAATAGTGCACCAGAAGCACCAACAGAGATACCGGCTTGAATGAAAAGAGCTGACATCAAACTTCCACCAAAACCAGAGATGATATACAGCAACCCAATGCGGACTGTGGATGGATAACATAAAAGAGCTCAGATTCAAACTTGGAAAACCAGATTTTACAAGTAAACAACTTTGTAAGTGCACAAGTTAAGAGATTGTTTCTATCTTAAATGACCCAGCAGATGCAATAGTTTGCCTCTGATCTTAAATATATTGCAAGAAAAGATGACTATATGCACCAAAAAAATTGATCAATATGGATATGCAACATCCCAGGTAAAAAAAGCAAATAAACTGAGATTTTGAACCATTGAAAGCATCAAATTTTTTGCGTAGTTAAAGTTATAAGATTTCAGTTTTAGCATAGAAGGCAAACCGGAGAACTCAATACACACCAAATCCAAATTCCTGCTCAAGTCGAATGCCAATGAAGACAAGACTCAACATATTGGCAAGTACATGGAAGACCCCAGCATGTAACCATATACAAGTAATCAAGCGCCATGGCTCCTTACTATGCACCACCTTCGACACTTCTAGAGCACCCATCTTCTCTAATCTGAAAGGATACACGGTAAATCAATTAGATGAAGTAATCACATGTATATACTTTCAGGATATGGATTCAGATAAACTAAAATCAAGCATCACAAAGATATAAATTCGGTGGCTTCAAGATTAGATATTCTTACGGCACGAGTTTCAAACTAGAATTTACATTTTTCTTATCCAAAACCATGGATTACATGTAGTTTCATACTTTAAGGCATGACCCATGATTAATCAAAGAACAGACCACAAAAGAAAAACTTTCATCTTAGCCATCTTACAGAGCAAGAATGTCTTCCAAATTATTGCCATTCCTTTCTTGCAATCCTTTCTCGCAGCAAATCCAAGTCGAAAAGTCATTGACTATACCTATTCATCCCTTGGATATCTATCCATATTTTGAAAACAAAATCCAAACCAAGCAGGTAAATTATCTGGGTTATTCAGGTCCCCAATTAAGGTAAATTGGACTCAGCCAATGAAAATTTCAGAACTTTTAAGTATCTTATAACTTTTTCCTTTTTCTTTTCCCCCCCCCCCTAAATTCCGTTCCTCTTTCAAGGCCTGTTCATAATAACTTCTCACTATGCTTTTCCAAATTGAAATCAAGCCAGCTACCTATGAGCCAATTCATGAAAAAAAAAGGTTAATAATGACAATAGATAGTGATAGAAACATGGACAAATCACTTCTCTAAATAGACATGTTCGCATCAATCTATATACATTCTGTACACAAATCTAGACAACAATCTAAAATAAAAAAAGTAATCAATGCAGAAATAAAACAATAACCCCCATTTCATAAACCCCTCCTTCCCCCTCCCCCCAAACCCAACCGGAACCCATATCCCCACACATAAATAGACACAGAGAAAACTACATATATATAGATATATATGCAGATTAATAGCGAGAGAGATAGAGAAGAGATACCCACGTAGAAGAAGAAGGACCGAGAAGAGGGTTCTCTTTCATCGGTTGAAATGAGAATCTGCCCAAGAAGTTCGCCACGCAGGAGCCAGAGTTCTTTGGGCAATTATTCACATACATTGTGATCAAGAAGACGACAATGTTGGTAATCACAAACAGCGGCACCAGCCATGGCACCCAGCGCTTGAACGGCCCGGATTCACCGGCTTCCCCCTGCCGCTGCGGCGGCCGTGATGGCGATACTGAAGACGGAGCTACTTGGCCCAGCGGCTGCACCACATTATCCCCTCGCCGAGGGTTCACCACCTTGATTTGAATCCCCGGTTGCTGCTGATGGTGGTGGGGATGGTCCCTCCCCATCATGACCACCGTCGATTATGATGACCCACCACCAAAAGAACGAAACTTTTGATCAAAGATCTCTTCTTCTAAACGGGGAACGCTATTGGTTACGCCACGAAGATTTTGACGATGACAACAAGTGTTTTATTGGGTTACCATTGCCAAAGATTGTTAGTTTGTTGGTGCATTTACTCGTTTGGTTTCTCGTTGTCATTACAGTAATAAAAATAATAATTCATTTTTGTAATTATTATCTCATGCGATCTATTAAGAATTAAAAAAAATATATAGTAATAATTAACAAAAGGATAATTCCCTTTTGATCTGTTTAAATCCTCTAATCATTGATTATCATGTAATTAGCAAATGCTTTTAATTTCTGTAATAATTTATATTGATTGCTTGTTTTTTTCGTTTTTTTTTAAATATTTATTTTATACATATAATTTTTTCAGTGTTCTAGATTTAAATAAATAATTTCATTTTGTGATTATGTCCGTGTAATAAGATGATGAATTAAATAAATAATATAAATTTAATCCATTTATTAAATATATTTCTTCTACGTGCCAGTCATGTTTTTGGTTCAAGAACCCATCAACATGATCTTATTTTTTGCACATTAAAAAAAATGATAATCTAAAAAAAATATATATATTTAATAAAATCAGCACAATCTATTAATCATGTGATAATCATAATTTTAATCTAAATTTTTTGTATTATTTGTAATTAAATAGACAAATTATATTAAAATCATAATTTTTTAAAGTATATATTATGCAATTTTGTTACTTTTAGTTAGTGGGTATATATATATATATATGTGCGTGTGTGTTATGATTCCCTTACGTTTTCGAATTGGAAAGGAATGGAATATGTTCTTTAATTGCCGTCTGCAATTGCTTTTCAACCATTTTTGCCAACCAAACACACTCTCTGTAATTTTCATCTCATTTCTATATATATATATATATATACGAGTTTATTAGGGGGAAAAAAAAACATTCTCAAAAGAAAAAGAAAAAGAAAAAGTGTAAAAATATTGAAATGCTTATTATTCTTGAAACAAAAATAATTAGTTTTGGATTATAAATATAATTATTCAATAATAATATAATTTACAAGTTTACCAATTAACAACTTGTCCGGCCTCGGAACTGGTTGAATGAATATGACAACCACAACTTAGTTGATGAGTAAAGTTAAAATAAATAATTTTGTGCACGGACACGTGTCACGATTTCAGTAATTATCACAAATTTTCTCAGGTTGCTCCAAATACTATTTGCCTTCTAAGTTAAAAACCAAACAGCAAAATCGACATCTACCTGTTTTATTCGATGTGTGTGTGTGTGTGTATATATATATATATATATATATATTTTATTGGTTTCTTGAAAATTACATAAATTAAACAATAAACAAATAAACCCAAATGCGTCGTATTGACGAAAATGACAAAATCAACTGCTAGTATATAATTACCAATTTATAAGAAGAAAAAAAAAATTAATTTAATTTTATAAGTCGTAATTGTTTTGATTTATTAAAAATAAAATTTAAATTTGAAAAAGAAAAAGAAAATAGTAATTGAATTTGTTGATTGCTTGGTGGGCCAGTCCAGTTATTCAAATTACCCCTTAAGTCAACGGCTTTTAAGTTTACAGCTGGTGTAAGTCTGTAAAGGT